ATTAAGACACCATGTATAGTAATAACAGAATTATAAACCTGACCACTATTAGTAGTGATAGTAGTATACTTTGTGGGAAAGCTGTCGACTGCATGATGCAGCATTACTTGTTACTTCTTACTGCAATGCTTTTATTTTTTTTCCAACTGAGAAACACTCAATAATGTCACCACTTCTTATTTACCTATCTAACATGCTTCCATCCATTTACTTACTTTAAATAGGATACAATCCTATGCTATGTATACTACTATCACTACTAATAGTTGCATCTCAAAAAACTATTTTCAATAACTAACTGCTATAACATCTGGCTTAAGACCGCACTACCATACCTAATTAAAAATCGCTAATACCACGAATGAAATCGGTGATACCATTAATTAACTGTTGCCACATATGTTGGTGTACTGTTATAGTTGTTGTTCTGCATATTTTGGGTGTATTGTTGCAGCTGCTGTCACACCAAGTTATTTATTTATTTACCTTCACAGCAACTTTTATTTCCACAAAGCTACATACAAGCACACACGTACACATAAATACATACATACATGCACGCCAGCTTATACTACCCCATTTTATCAGGAAGAAAAATGAAACGTTACCACGCCGTCTCATCCAGCAAGCACCAATCATTTTAATATTTAAAACATTGAACATGCTCTGCTAACCCAGTGAGTACTAGTGTTGCTAACAAACATACACGCCAACTGTTTATATCCAACCTATCCGTATAAGTGTACATCAAATCACATTATATCATATCATATTGTTCCTGGTGTGAGGGGTGGAGAGGGGGAGGAGGGAATGGAACAAGGAGGGATGGGAGGAGGGAAGGTTAAGTGGAAAGAAATACATTGCGTGAAATAACCATACTTCCACACTGACAGCTATGGCACTCATCCACTTTCATTCTCCTTATCTCCTGCCTGCTGCAGTAAAGCATAAATATACATCGCACCTGGCATTGCCTCCCTTCTGCCTTCTCATTTCCAACAACAAAACAACACAAAATAGAGCCGAGTATTCTCCCATTCATCGATTTATTCCTCTCTCTTCTACTTTCCCCTGCCTCCGCCTCCGTCTCCACCTCTCTTATTTTCTTCCCTCCCCTTTCCCTCTCTTCTGTCTGTACATTGAAACAATTCAAAAATTTGAATTTTGATCTCTAGTGAGTGAGTGAGTCCATTATCTCAAATCCAAATTTATAATTTCAGTTCCTTCAGGTTTTTTGTGATAAATTTAATATTATAAATTTGTGACTAAGAAAAAGAAAATGATCTTATATGTAGCACAAAAAGAAAAAGAGGGTAGAATAGGCATGGAGGGGACAACTATTTAAAAGAGAATGACGGGGTTATGGGGTTAGTAGGCGGTATTGCACTGGTTGATGGTATCTTTGGCTAAGGTGGAATTGGCCTCGTAATAGTTGGTGTTTGTATGTTGCTCGGAAGCAGTCGTGTGTGGTGCTTGCAAATGTCGTTTGGATGTAATCCTTTGTTCAGTATAGTCAAGTTCTAACAGGCATAGTTTAGCAGTTCAAACCTTGCTTCTTCCTTAGTGTCTTGACTAAGTTCCTCTCCACCTTGGATCTTTTCATTTTGCTTTGGTTGTTTTCGAGCATACTTTAGTCCTACTTCATTGTTAGCTGTTTTGGTTGTTTATAAGCTCCTACTACTTAAGTTAGTTCGTGTATGGTCTTTTACTAGTCATTGAGCAGCTTTTGGGATTAAAATTTTGAATAGTTGTCTTTTTGCTGCTCACATCGTTAATGTTTATACTTATTCACGTAATTTTATTATCATTGCCAGTATTGGAGGCCAACAAGTAGAGATAAAATTGTTATATATAAATGCATTTGAAATAGTAACCGTCCAAAATTCGTAATTGTCTTTGTAGTTAAGCTTGTGTGATTAAGATGCTAAAATGAACCACAGTAGCAGTTTTTGATTATTTTTTCGAAAGAATTGTAGCAAATGTGGTTGCTAAAATTTTGCATAGCCAATTTTTCACTTAGGATGATATTAACACATGATAGCAATCTTCTGCGTAGCGATTGGTTCTAAGTTATAAAGAAGTAACAGGCGCATTAGCGCGAGAATTGATTACGCTAGTGTGAGCTTTAGCTTAGATGATGCAAATAGTCAGTGATTTATATTATTTGAAGTGGAGAAACATCAGTCGTAATGATCAGCTTAACTTCTTGACTTTAGCTGTCAAGGATGATGGTCAAGTACTAGAACAACGTTCTCAAGCATAAGATTTGATAGTGTATATGCATGGGGAGTACAGATGAGGTAAAGAAGTAGATGGAGAAGGTAAAAGTAGTGCTAATTGTGTCTTTATGAAGGGGTGACATAAGTTCCAGTACTGAAACGATACGTGATACAACACGTAAGTCAAAATAGTAAATAGGAGAGATTGCAATAAATGCAAGGTTTGACAAAGGTATTGGTATAGTGCTGTGTAGGAGAAAAGTGAAGCATCATAGAAGTGAGTATTATATAATGCAGTACTGATTGCTTTCGCTGAGATCGATCATCGTCGACCTGACATGTCTGGGAGTTCTCAAATTTTTACTAATGCGCGACGGTAGGGAGTCATGAATTCTTGTCCTGGGCTACCCATTGATGTGTTTGTACGGGTTTTGCCGTATGTGATCGATTGGCAGGGTTTCGTTTCAAGTAGTGAGTGCCTTCCACTTAATACACATATCTTTGGTAAGAGGCGGGGGTTGCGTCGGGCAGTAGGCGGGGCATGTGTATAAATAAATGGAGCTTATGTTGGAAGTTTTTCATGCGTGTAAGACGCTGTTTACGCAGTGTTTATGATTCGTGTGGAAGATCTGTCATCGGGGGATGTGATTACTGGGTAGTTTGATGGAACGCTGTTTGCTTAGAATGTCTTGTTTGTATGCTAGGAATGCCATTACTTATTGGTGCCAGTGGTTTATCAGCACTGTTTCTGTTTCAGTGGAAAAATTGTGTTTTTCCTGTTTACAAAGCGTCTCATTTGCTGAGCAGCAATTAATTCAAGTTCAATATTGTTAATGCAAATCGGTACCATATTTTGTTTTTCAGCCGTTTGAAGAACTACTGCTGCTTGCAAGATCGCACGCGATACCATCCAAGATGGCTGAAACCAACAACGTAAGTTGTTAGCAGAAAATGTTGCAATTAGCTTTGTGGGTGTTTGCTTTGACCATGGTAATTTATCGTGTTGGGGAATGCATTGCAAGATCACATCGCTATTAGTTTTTATCATTGTTTGTCAGTTCATGTTTATTCAACCAGTTGCAGAAGCCGGGGGGCGAACATCAACTTTCAAAAACTGACAGGCCCTTAAATGATGAAAACCACATTGACGGCAAGAAGATCGTTGCGCGTCACATCCGAGGAACTGTCAAGTGGTTCGAGTTTTTTTCAAACAAGACAGTGTCATTATTAGATTTATGAATTACTGAGTAAGAACGTAAACTGGTAGTGTGTATGTACAAAATTAATTCATAATTAAAATGTAACTTAAGCAGCAGTGTAAATCTTAATTGGTACTACAATATGGTGGGGTTGTACTGTACTGTGGTTAATTTTGATCTTAAATGGGGTAAGTTTATTTTAGTAATCTAGGCTGATTTTTACGTATAGTGTATTAAATCCTTAGTGATAATTGCTGAAATATGGTTAGAACTCCCTTATCAGGTTTAACGTCAAAAACGGCTATGGGTTTATTAACCGCGCAGATACAGGTGATGACATATTTGTGCATCAAACAGCTGTCGCCAAAAATAATCCAGAGAAGTATCTAAGATCACTGGGCGATGGGGAAAATGTTCGTTCATTGAGTTTTTTTAATTTTCTATTTTTGAGGGAGAAAGCCGCATCTCTAGGTTTTCGTATGGTATGGTATTAGAAATCGTTGTTTAAGTGATGGAAGTCAGTAACATGTGTTACTTTAGGTTGAGTTTGATGTTGTTGAGGGACAAAAAGGTCCAGAAGCCGCAAATGTCACTGGTCCTAATGGCAGCAATGTAGAGGGCTCGAAATATGCTGCCTACAGATACAGGGGATCTATTAATCGTGGTAAAAAACGAGGATATCGTCGACGATATTATACTTCTGGCTACCAGCCACGTAGAGGAGGTTCAAGAAGAGCCAATTCTGAAGGAGATTTAGCTGATGGAGAGAATGGTGAAAATGAGAATGAAGAGGTAAAGTTTCCTTTATTCAGTGCACGTCCAGCAATGGAGCTCTTACATCAGTCATTTGCTTTCAATTTCTGTTGCACATGATGCGATTACCGATCTCTGATGAAATTTATCCTAATTACAAATGTCAGGTGAGAAGGCAAGGCCGCGGAGGATTCCGTTCCAGTCGTGGGCGTGACCGTTTTCGCAGTCGAGGACGTGGCCGTGGAGGGCAGCGTCGTCGTGCATCTGAAGGTGATCAGCAGGATCCCGTATCAGGGAACCAACAAATAGATGAAACTACATCGCGAAGAACTGGTCGTGGACGTGGTCGTGGAGGTAGGTATTTATCTCATTGTGTTAGACAAAATCAGTAAATAATAAAATAGATTTCATGAAAGTCTTTGCTTTATGCTTTAGGTAGAGGCCGCCGTGGAGTTCGTAACATGGATGCTTTGAATGGTGAACCGGGAACTAATTTACGTGCTGCAAATAGTGGAAGTAAAGAAAGTGAGCGTTCAGTGTCAGACATGAAATCGCCTTCTGACCATTAACTCACTTTTGTCTCAGGTTCGCGATGTTGAATTTTATGGTCGTTTCGTGATTGAGTCAGACTTGAAGTCGGATGCAAATTCTACATGGAATTTTTTCAGTCAAAACAAGTGCGCTTCCCCACATTAGTTTCTTGCAATATACTCTGGATGACTGAATTATAGAGCGTAGGCGTCCACGCCGATTTTCGGGAAGCGCTTTCACCTCAGTCATCTTAAAAGTTTCCATTCTATGGAATCTCCGAACGAGATTCCATATGTCACGTCTATCGCGGCACTTTGCTGCTTGATAGCTATCTCCTGATATTGTTAATGGCCTCCATGTTCATATTTTTAATGTTTTCTTACTGATATTCGACAAGTGCAAAATTACTAATCTTTATAGACTCATAAATTTATCTTCAGGATATCCGCTAACTGCACTAATATCCCGATTGAGTGGGAAACTAATTAGATATGGGAACTAAACATTCTTACCTTGGGCGAGGTTCATCACTTTTGTCATCCCTTGTTTCTTATTTGCACTTTAATTTCGTTTTTAAGTGCGCAAGTATGTTAGTACTGCAAATAAGAAAATAATTTTCTGTTTGTACTTTTTTGCATAGAATGATTTGAGAGTACTGTTAAGTTTAAATGTTGTCTGAGATGAAAACAGTCCGATTTTGTTTCGTGACTTTAAAGCTTTAAGCATTTATTGTCTTTTATTTTTGATATTATCTAACTTTTGTTTTGAAATTTCATATTAGTAATGACATGAGACATGTTTACCCTGAACACAAACCAAATTCGACTACGTTTTGTTATTAGTCGAAAGTTTCAGTAAGACATATTTCAATATTTAGTGTAATTATTTTCAACTATTTAAAGATGTGTAAGTTGCATATGTTGGACAAATGAAACCTCAGTCACCAAGTATAAAAGTTCTTTCAGAAACGAGTTCTTAACACATATCATGAACGTTTTGCATGGTTTCTTACAAAACATGAATATTCCTGATCGCTCATTTCCCAGACAGTACCAAATAACATATTTGTGTCTCATTCTGAATCGCTCATGACAATTCGTCTCTTCTTTGTCGGTCGTGAATCATCTTTATCAACATCTGATAGATATTGATCGCTAGTTGTCAGCTTGCGTTCCAACACAACCTAATGAAAACAGTCTATTTTTTTTACTAAAATTAGGGAGCCCTGGTCGGTTTTAAATTCAGATCTGCAATACTACAAACTACCAACCCCATCGTCGCTACTACCGTCCTTTATACAACCTGTTTTTGGCATTCCTATTAATATATCATCAGCTTTCACCGTTGAACCAGAATAATTATGTGTACATGATTCGTCATCGTCGGCGGTGGACCGGTGATCCTATAATTACAATGGAAACTTTACATGACTTCAAGACGGAAGCATTTACCATTTCTCCTATGAATTAATACTTTAGTCAAAATAGAGTATTTCTACGTGATGAAAACCCAAGGCAAGCAGGCAGACAAAAACCTTATTAAAAAGTTCAGTTCTGACATTATTTCACTACTGATCATCGGTCTCAGTTTGTAGATCAAGATCTTATGAGTCATGTTTTTTAGTTTTAACTGTTTCCTTCACTCATGTATACTGTATCCATTACAGCATACATGACGATCAATAGTAAAGTAGTTAGTTCCACCCTTAATGAAATTCGAATTCACTACTCAATCAGACGACTGCCAAACATATTGACAAGCTTACTTCATGTGAAAAGCAGTCAATCGAATTAGTTATCGGTTCCTGGTGTTTGTTGATAGTAAGCCGTTTTCTAAAAACGAAATTAGAGTGATCTCTGATAATTGTAGTATTTGCCAAAAAGCTTCATAATTTGTATAAAAGCATCAGTGAGACATACCGTTTTATACTTTTTTCGTTCTTTCGGTCAGAAACATCTGAGCCAAGCAGATTAAACTCTGAAACAATAATTATACTGAGGAACAGTACTGTAAACACTGATAAATTGGTAATCAAACCGTCAGAAATATCATAAACATCGTTGGCCCCATTATCTGATTCTTCTTCGTCTACTTTTTTTTGCAGTGCTTTTGAACGTCTGAAAAAGAAAAGGAAAGTGATTTAGCACTATTATATTTTCAGTAAGCAACTGTCATAATATATAAAGAAATCTTAAAACTAATGCAAAGTAAATGAATGACACTACCGTTTTTCACTCACTAATTCGAATATCTCAGAACTTTTCTATCCATGTATTTATAAAGAACACCATACGATATTTGAGATGAGAGAAATATAAAATTTGTACTAAACTGCTTCAATTCAGCAACAGTTCCACACACATACACACACACTTCAAACCAGTAGTTTTCTATATAATAATCTAAAATAGTTTTTAATGAACCTTTTTTTCAATGGTAGCTCGTAGTATATACCTTCTTGTTGAAGATGCTTAATGATTTTCGCTCTCGTATACTTTTGAGACAGATTGTGACGAATAAAATTAACTAAATCATCTGAAATTGTGATAATTTTCAACAAATTACGAATAAGGTAGTTTATTCCATACAGCGATACATCTGGTTAAATTCTGATTTTCCATATGCTTTAATATTTACTATGCATCAGTTTTAAGATTTCATTATATATTATGACTTTCATAAATATTTAAACTGATATATCTCAAAAATCTTGGTAGTGCTACTACATAATAATGACTACATTATCCTCACCAATAGCAATGTTGAGATCATAAAAGGCGAAACTTAATCGAATTCATCCCTCACGTCATTGCAGAAATTCAGAAATACATTAACTGGTAAAATGAACTATATTTGATTATTAGAGAAGTGAACCTGAACGGCAAGAAGGCGATTTTGAATTATACTCTTTTGCTATATTATGCATTTGATGGATGATTTCTGGTGCAAATGGTAATGATTTGGATGTTTCCAGTGTATGTCTGCAAAAATAATACCGAATATACTAGCTAGCATTTCATTTTAAATTAAGCAATCTAAAACTGAAGTCATTCAGTTACCATTCATGTCAAAGATTTTCTCCTTACTTAACAGATGTTAAAGATTAAAAAAGACCGCTTTAGCACATGTTTTAGTGAATGGATATATGCATCTCATTCGCCGCAAATGGCTACACTGGAACTACTAAAACATTTGCACATTTACCTTTCAATACTTCTAGCGCCAAATGTACTTAATCCAAGTAATTTTATTTGTCGAATAATTTGCCGACGTGTTCGTAACTTCGATAAACCTTGTTCCACATATTCAACAATGTCTACACCTGAAATTAAAAATTTGCATGCTACTAAATATCCAATCGTAAGTTGGAAAATTTAAACTTAAAAAACAAACAGTCCTCGTTTCCTGTATACATAATACCTTCAGGCTTTTCTTCGAATGACAAATACTCATTATACAGCGTTTTTAATTCATTTTCCAAATTTTCAGGCCATAATATTTCTTTACACTTTTTGCCATCATCCTTAATTCTGAAATCAAACTCTAATTACAAAAATTTAGCCAAAATTTTTATTGTTTTTATTAGCTTAAGAAACATATTACAAATGCAATAAAATGTATGACTTCTTCAGTACTCACTCAAATGATCCATATCCATTTGAAATTTCATAACATTCTTTTGAACCTTTCAAAAACAAAATCTCTGGTATCAATTTTGACCCAATCCTTCTATAGTCAGCAAAAAACCGTCTCAGAATGTGAAAACCAAATTGATATATGTCAAAATATTTGCTTCGTTTGATATCATTCAAAGACTGGTCCTTGAAACGAAGAGCAAGTCGTTTGAAAACGATAAAAAGAGAAAGCTGTAATTACACATCTTAGAAATATTTTAAACAAAAAAAGTAGTACTTACAATCATTTTTCAGAATAACATAACATGGACATAATGGACCTGATATAAACGCGGAGCCATTTTCAAATCAAACGCTATTCGATGTAAAAGTTTCAAAACTGCCTTATTTATATCCATAGTGTTGGATTCAAAGTCAGTCAGTACGAAAAAATACCTGCAAACCAATAGAAATGTCCAAAAATAATATAAAATCTGAAATACATACTGCATAACTAGTATAAACTAATTTTACTATCATAGGAAAAAAACAATATATGAAAAATATCAATTATTAAAATACATGCATTCCCTACAAATATGTGAAAACACTATCAGAATTTTCGGTCCTCATCACGACAGTAATATATAGCGTTCACAACTGTGATCAATAAATGACGAAACTGTATGGTATTTTATTCTCCAAGTATATAAATGCAATATTAGTGGCAATCATCTTACTTATATTACCATTTCAAAATATCAGCTCGTGCGAACTTAGCAACGTAATCACCGAAATTAAAGTCGACTTCATTTTCGACCGCGGATGCATCTGAATCTAATTCAACTCCACATTCCTTTTCCTCTTCTAGAACGATTTTATCATCAAAAAGTGCACTGTCTTCTGTACCATCATTCCACTGCGGTCCGTATGCTTCTAATCGAACTTTTTTCCACTTTTCTTCAACCTGTTTCAAATATAAATAATATTCCCAATTTTTAATAGCTTGACTACAGGCAATAACACTTACAACAAATGATCTATATAGTGATGTTTTTAAAAACATGTAAAAGTAATATATTATTTGAAGAATAACATACATCATTCACTCCACCACCACAAAATCTTAATTCAATTTGAAAGGATAGGTCAGAAAAAAATAAAAAATTTTATAGCTTATTTCAACAATAACTCGATATTTCCAAAATCTATTTCTAAAAAACTGCCCACAGCAGTAAATTAACACTTTGTGCAGTTTACTGCTGTCTGCGCGAATTAGCACTGTGTGCAGTTATCCTCTGCTGAAAGCTATATCTACTTTTTCTAAATTGTTACGAAATCTATTATTTATTTTCTGCTCAACACCACATACTTATGAAATCGATAAAAAACAACGAAATTTTCACGCTAATGCACCGAAATATAAAAATAAAAAATTAAGGGATATTTGATGTAGATATTTCAGTTGATTGACCTCGTATGTATGATGATACGAACAAGACAAAATCGGAAATCAAAAACAGATGGATGACAAGAAGGAATAAATATTAATACACCTCCTTCAAATCCACAAAATATATAGCACGTAATTCCAGAAATTCATCTTCAGCATTCATATCATTTGTTCCAAATATATTATTTGTAGGCCACAAATCACGAGCAGCCCGATATACACCGACAGCATCTGCTACGCGCCTTTCTTGAAGAGCATGGTGCACCATGAGCATTGCAAACTGCCTAAAACTAAGATTCTTTAATACTTTTCCAGTGCAGATAAAAATTCCATGAAATATATCATTTTTTCTACAAGCATAATAAAACGAATAAGAGTTGAATAAAAGATAAAAGTACTTATGAACAGAATCTTCCACATTCAGAAGCACATCGATGGCACTTATATCGAGGTTAGGTTTTACAAAGCCAAATATGGTCTCTGATAAATCTTCGCAAATATCATTCCAAACATTCTGGTCTGACGTTTCCGATTTTTCTACACATTCTTAAACAAATTTTAATGCAAAAATTTAGTATTGAGAAAAATTACAAAAAAAAGGAAGGGCGTGATTTTCAGACACGATAATAAGTATCAAAAATTTATGACCTCCTTTATTACTTTTTTGTGCATGCCTTTTTCGTAATTTCTGACGTTTGGTGACCGTATAGAGCATTCCTTTTTTGGAAAAATTTTCGACCAAAGATATGTATGCATGATTTGCTAATATAATATTTTGCAAAAAAGTCTTTGAAAATACACCAGGCTAAAATCGTACGATTTTCAAGCAGACTCAATTAAAAATTCAGAGTGATGGAATCTATTCCTAGAAGATTAGATGGGATGGAAAAATAATCAAATACATTTCAAATAGAAAAGGTGTCGTTCGTAATTAATTTTAATGAAGGGTTTTAGTAAAATCAAAATGCATGATCATCAACAAGATTTAAAAACTTCGAATTTCAAGTGAAGCAAGTAACATCGAGATTTTTATATGTTAGAAATAAATATCTATTTCAAAGCGCTCGGAATTCAACAAACCATAAATCTACGAATAATAGATGTTGAGAGATCTCTATATTCCTCAACTTTCAGTATATGCGAACAAGTAGATTCTATTTTTTTTTTCCATTCTTCACTCCCAGATTTCAAAATTGATAACTGACTGAAAAAAAGAAAACGAAAATAACTTTTAATAAATTTAAAAGAGAGAAAACAAGGAAATTCGACTTACGTAAAAAGTAATTCTTTGTAAGCAACCAAAGCATACTGCGCACGTAAGCCATAGAAGCGGGCTTCCTTACGTTCAATTTTTGTTTTTTCCATGTAATCATCCAATTGAGTTTGGAGAAGGTGGAACGTTTCTATATTCAGAGAAACATCAACCTTAAAATGATAAATCAGTGGAAAAAAATTTTAGGACCAATTCATTTTTTAGCCATATCCTTTTCAGTACTGTCCTGAGCAATCAAACCGCTCTTCCTGCATTCTAAATTATAGATGTTTATACATTTGATTACATGAAGCTAAAGCCATTATCTATAATAATAAAAAAATAATTTGAAATATAAATATTAGAGTGAGTTAGATGAATTTTTATAAGTCTTGATTTAAAAAAAAATTTTCCATCAGCAGTTGCGAAAATTTTACTTACATATTCCTCAGGCAAGCCAGCTAGACGACAAAATTCCATCGAAAACTGCATCAAAACAAAATAATGTATGTCAGCTTTGGTTTGTTCCAGAGTTCGCCTAGCAGAAAACGCCTAAAGAAATTAAACCAGACATTCTTTAACTCAGGAAATCTTTTCTAAATGAGTAATTCTATATAAAAGATGAAAAAAGTTTTCCTACAGACACCGCTTAATAACACTTCGATGCTCAACTGCATTTCAATTCACTCACACCATCTCTACATCCGCTCATTAATCGAGAATATGATTTCTGCAGCATTTCTAGACAGAAAGATCGTAAAGCTACGCGAATATCTCGACAAGACAGATGTTTATTATCATCACAATGGAATAACCGTCGATTTTTAGGAACGCGATGTCGAATTTTTTGTGTATTCAAATGACCCACCACATTACAGTTTTTCAACACTCTAAAAAAGAGAAGAATTTTATGTTTTTTAACAATTTACGTGATTGTTATTCCTAATTTTAATACTCTACTCAATTTTCTAGCTGACAAATGCTCAATCGTAAATGATAAAGATCTGATCACTGTTCATTGTTGGTCAAGTACTGCAGAGCGCAGTATGCAGTATGAAGTCTAAATCTAACTTGCTCACAACCATGTCGTTATTTTTGTTGATGGCTTTCAATCCTTTTAAAATATAAGTTCCAGCAAAAGAAGTATGGCGGCTTGATAAGCAGCGACGCATATTGAGCTGCTTTTCTTTCTCCATTTCGACGACCTTCTGCATCTCTATTTCTTGTCTTTTTCTTTCTTCGGTTGATCGAATACTTTCAGCTTCGACCACATCTTTCGCCTCCTGAATTTTCAATATTCTCAGCCGTTCAAATAAAAACGTTACTAACAAAAAATGCTACACTTACATACTGCTTTAGCATCATTGCAAATATTTCCAGAACACACAAATGGAAATAACGTTCATTAGAATTTGCGGATACTTGAACAAGTAGCTTCCCAAAACCACTCTGCAGTAAAGCTAAAACTAGCTGATCATGACTATTGACGTCCTGTGACGTACGCTGCAAAAATACTGTGAAATACACATGAAAAAAGATGAAGTGAGAATGCACGATATTCGAAAAAAAAAACTTCTGATGAACTTTTGAGACTATTTGCGGGATTAAATTGCTTTATCTTACTTCTTTATCAAGATCCGTATCGCCAATTAAAAGAATGTAACGCACTAAGACAAAAATCCTCTCGATCACAAGTTTTGTTTCTTCGAGTCTATCCAACCAATCCTAATAATATTTAAAAGACGACATATCCATAATTCTTACAGAAAGTCGCGGATTAATAAACATAAGTGATAATTTAAGTTCATCTGCCAGTGTATGTAACCTCAGTATATTCTGATTATATTAACACAATTATTAGAATAAAATAAGCAGCCTCTAGGTCAACAAGCTTGAATAAGCAGGTTAAAACCAACAAAAGCAAACTAACATATTTTCAGAGAACTCATAAATTCAATTCTTTTTTTTCCTATTTCACAATCAAAATCATTCTATTTCCTGGTGTCCTGTATAGAAAATTTTAATCATCAAAGCTTTCACATTACGAACTCAATAACTAAAATATAAAAACATACTTGTGCAAAATAAGCTGAAACTTTGCTTTCAAAAACTTTGAATAATTGAACATCACCAAAGGCTTCTTTTGAATCTTTGAGATTCTTTTCGACCTGCAAAAAATGACTTAGTTTATATACTGAATAATTTTTAAGACTTTGAAATAGTAGCAACTATACATCAGAAACGATAATTATTTTCACCTCAAAAAAAGCTTTCACAATTTCCTTATCACCGAAATCACGTCCTACAAATGTCAAAGCGGCTGGTTGACACAAATTTATTGTTAGTCTGCAATTAAAATAAATAGTGAATAAAGAAAATAAAATAATTGATAAATAATGAGGGTACCGATTTTCAAACAACTATGTAAGAATACATTATTTTGATGTATAAACCATGCTATGAATACCAATTTTCATCTCATTATGCGTTATATTGTCAAAATTTACCCCTTCCTACATATGGAAGATACCTTAACGTAATATCAAATAATTTGTCAGATGTACGAAACGATCGCATAATTGGAATCAAATCGCATCCAATAATATTTCGCTCTCCACAAGCACGTCGTGCAATGGCCAGATTAGTATCATTTCGTAAAAATCGTATCAAATCGCGAATACTCTCTAATTTCATTCAAAAACTAGTGAAATTTTAAAATAATTTAAAATCATCATTTCTTTTCCATGCCATAATATTTCACAAATAAAGTTATAATAAAACGAAACAGCAGAAAAAAAATCTGAACCTTTAATTAAGTGAATATAAAATTTATCATAATTGAGATTATTTCTGAAATGGAATGCTGAAAAAAAATTATAAAATAGATCTCGAGAACAAACAAACCGAGACAATCAGGTTCCGGGTGATAAACATTGTTTTCCAGAAATCCCAGCGCATTGATTGTTCCTTGAATAAGTGGCTCCATTTTCTGATAAATAATCTATTTTATTCACTGATTTCAGTAAACTACTTAATGCTTTGCTAAAGCTTACTACATTACTTCACTTCTTCCAACATAATCAAATAAGATGATACACGAAATGATGAACTTCATTGACATGTATTTCAAATTTGACCGCTTTTTAATACGTCATTTCGCTGCACTTAATGAAATATAAAGGATGAAAAGGAGAACAGAGAGTGGAATGAAATCATTTCACAGTGCTTCAAAAAAGAAAAAGTTTAAATTGGAAATTACATCTTGAATCAAGCATTCAACACATTGTTCACAATTATTTTTCTTGAGCATTTTGATCTAATATTATTAAACCATTTAAAGTATTTATACATCTCACTGTGTGTTTGAAACTATTATGCTTTAAAAACAATTTCGCTGAATTTCTTAAAACATTATTATCAATTTTCGTCTACCTTTAATAATCAAATTTCTAGAACTGAAATAGATGAATTTATCAATTCATACGAACTTTGAAAAAATTTCAAAAACAGTGCCGCACAATCTTGGAGTTTTTGCGTTTTACTGTTATCTCAAAAAAATGCAAACAAAAATTTTTTTATTACTTGGAATTATTATTTTTTGATCAATATGATATATTACAAAAGGAATGTTCTAAAATTTTTCATAAGGAAATTCAGTAGCAAAGGGTTTGTTTATTACAAAAGCTAAAAGGTATGGACTAAAAACCTTTGCAGTTCGATATAAGGTTATTTCCTAATTTCAAACCACAAAGATTTTTGTTCCAGTTTCTTCTTTTTAAATCACTGGCAATTAATTTTCAATTATCGTTTATTACTTCGTTATCAAAGTGATTTCAATATTAGTTTGTTAAATATTAGTGACATCATCATCGGAAAAACAATGAGAACTTTTTCAAACTCTCTTAACACTAGGAATTGATCTTTTATTAAGTTAATGCAAATTACAAAATACATCAAGTTAAATAATAAGGTAAGCAGTGATTCAAATTTATGCTGCTGTTTTAGCAACACAATAATTCACGCAGAAGTGAGTATTCTGAAATGGATTATTTTAAATAAATATAATCTATGAGTGGTCATTCATCTTTTTTTGCTGATTTATAAAAAATTATTTTTTGAAGTTTCATTTATGTAACTCCGAAAAAATAATTTGATTTTTGAAAATTATTCGCTGTAACAGAATTACATACAAGTATAAAGATATATATTAATATTTTGATAGTTTTCTATGTACTCACAATTTCATGCGCACAGTGAAGGAAATAAGAAAATAGCTTTGTATATTTTTGATATTAATATAAACCACTTTATCTAAATTTAGATTTTCTGCTTTTTTTAATAAATGATTTTATTTTTCATTTTTACATTAACTTTTTAGCGATAAATGTATGGGAAGAAAATTGATATTGGCTAAATAAGATTGCAAACAAACGCAATGAATACTTATTTTTGTGATTTAAACTGCATAGAGGGGAGACAAAAATCATGAAATTTCCAGTAGTTTACTTTAAAACTTTTAAATTTAAAAATTACCAAATGGAAGTGCAAATATTTTTTTCATTCTTCCTCTCAGTGCACTTTCAATCAACATCATTTCTATTTCAATTCTTTTGGGATAGCCAATTGAGAATGATTCGATTTTAACTCATTAAATATATCATAAGTATAAGATGACTTTTTTTTTAAAAAAAACTTCTGACACAGAACCATAAACCAACTTTTTTTAACTTTACCATTTACGTTGTTTTGCTATGTAAACTATTAGTACATTTTACTACAACCTGTATGCTTTTTTTCAAGTCGGAAAGTATTTTCAGTAAATTCAATATTATTTATTTATATATATCTGACTGATTCATTTATGAGCAGAACTGAGCGCGGGGCGAGTGCAGACAGAATGCCAGAATACGATCCAGCGTCAGCAGAATCAATAATGAAGAAAAGAAGAATAATTTCGTAGGATACTTCTGTTTGATTTATTTATTATCTACAGTAAAGTAAAAAAATGCTTTTGCACTGTAGCAGTACGACACTTTATATTCATATCTTGAATTATTTGTGCATCACTATCATCATCGTTATCACCACCAATCAAACAGCATACAGGTTGTAGCGATCGCAAGACAGACAATAAACTCTTGTCACACTGGAAAAACCATAGCTGATTATTGATTTATTGATGTTTTATGCTGAAAAAATGAATCTGAGAAATAGTCTTGTTTGCAGTCTTTTTCGTCTTCAAGAACAAACAAAGGCTAAACCAAACTCCAAAAGTCATCTCAAACTTTCTCACTCTTTAACCCCATTTCTCATTGTCTGTGTTGATAGAATGTCTTTACTTTCAACTTCTATTATTTCTTTCATTTTGATGATATTCAGTACTATTAAGTCGCTTACACTATTAAACTCGGTCGATTGAATGGTTGTAATTATCTAAATTTTGAATAAATTGTATTTTGGCCTCCACACCAATTATTGTTGACATATTTACTCCAAAAACGCCTTCATATAAAATCTCAATATAAAAGCACTAATGCTAATGTTACTTTTCCTTTAGAGGCTGAAAAAAATTAAAAATTTTTATTAATTTGCATTCTCTTACATAGCGAATTTCAATTAAAACAATGTAACGCTCATTCAAAGAAGCTAAATCTTGTAGTAATTTAGTGCTTTTTAGACATATATGCAAAATTTAACACTTGCTTATTCTGAAATTCTTTACATTGAGACAAAGGCAAACTTCTGGTACTGATTAAAATAAACTGCTAATATTTTTTGTTTCGTTTGCAGTTGATAAACTCAATAAAATATGAATCGTAAAAGATTAACTTTGATCCTTCTAGACTTTTTGAAATATATAAATAATTTCGATTATCATTGCTAATTAATTTGCTCGCTTAGTAGCGATGCACAGTGCAATTAAGGATCTTTATTTGATCATTGCCTTGCGCAATAACTGAAAGCTGAAGTGATTTGTGATATTTTGTGATATCAGTATTATGAATTTTGATGGTTTTTGTAAATATTTGGTCTCACTAATGATGTATTTGCCATTCGTTTATTGGTAAAACCGGAAATTTGTCACATCTCTGTTTAAAATTTAGTTTCACCTTCAATTTTATGCTTTTTCCACTTGTAATAGCGAGCATGTTTTCCAAAGATAGGAATTAATGATCAAAAAATTAATTATTCATACTTTAAGTAACTCTTGAAACAAAAATGTGAATTTGGTTCATTTGCCAATGAAATAGTTTGCATATCTAATTATTTGTAAGTATTTTTTTCTACTTTTTTGAAGATAATTAAACTTGTCTATATCTATTCTCTTCTATTTACGGCTATTCTGCTCCCTCAAAAGCGACATCTACCTGCTTTTTGAACATTCTGATTGGTATTTGATATTTGGACGAGTCGACAAAAACCGTAATGAAATTTACAACTCCTAGCTTAGGTATGGTTTTTGTTAAATTTTTCTTTCATTTTTGCATACAAAACTTTCCAACACTACTGTGAGCAATTTAAAAATAAGAAATGATATACCAAGACGAAATTGTGCATTCTTAAAATGACATAAATTCTACAAATTGATAAAAATTCTAGAACTATCACTAGGCAAATGATATTTTGTTTTATTTAATATTTGTGTAACTTCATGGCAAACATTTGGAGATGGTACACCTGAAACTACAAATAGCTATTATTGAGGTTTTTTTTAGTTGCTTCAAGCTATAAAATAATAATAATTGGTGGCGGTACAGGAGGTTGTTCATTATCGCATCGGTTTCACAAATTGGTACCCAAAGGTCAAATAGCAGTAATTGAGCCCTCGCAGGTTAAATCACTTTGGTAAAAAGTAATTTATAAGGAGGAATTTACTGATTTGTTTATTTGAATTAAATAAAGGAATATCATATGTATATATTTGCAATCATATGGTTAGTAAAAAAAAAGATCATTTTGGTATGGAACAATTTCTTAGTCTCTTTTTTTCCAAAATAAATCCAAAAAAAAGGATTTGTGTTTAAGCTTTAGGAACACCATTACCAACCAGGTTATACACTTGTTGGAGGAAATCTGTACACTTTGCCACAGTGTATCAAACCCATGAAAGCAGTTTTGCATCGTGACAATGTTTGGATCAATCAGTCAGTAGCAAAAATCAATGCTAACGATAACTTCATTACTTTGAAGTAAATTGATGGCGAATAATTGACTGCGTAGATTCTAATGGGAAATAACGAATCAAACAGTGTAAAAGTGCCAATTAAAAGCACAAATTAACTGCAGTATATAATTTCATCTAAGATTGCACAAGTTTTTAAAAACCATAAATTGCACTGCAAGTCTAACTGTATTGTAATCAGTTATGCAAATTGAGCATTAAAAAATTTTTAAAAATTCAATTAAAATTTGGTATTCAATATGGACATGATATGAAAGTATTAAGATGATTTTATAAAAAATTTATTGCAGTGATGGAACAAAGATAAGTTATGAACTGCTACTGGTAGCAGCTGGAATTGAACTTCGATTTGATATGGTACATTTTTTCCATAACTTATATTTTCTGATATATATTGTCAAAATATTCGTTTCTAACGGTTCTTTTCATAATCATATTGCTTGTGATAATCTTTAATTCATTATCTGGTATTTTATTTGAAACTGAAAGTACCAAAGATATTCAAATATTTTATAGTTATTTAAATCAATACAGATAAGATTATTTTGTTTGTGATAAAATTTTCTTTTAATAGGTTTCTCAAAAAAATTATCGTTAACGCTTCTGAAGTACTGACAATTGGAACAGCTATGAGACAAATGCTATTTTGAAACTGAACTAAAAAATTCATTGAAAACTTAGAATTTGATTTATTTTATTAATATTTTAATACTAGTAGTTAATAATAATAATAATAATAATTCTGAAGCAGGAGAAAGCTCATAACACGTACTTGGCAATTATTGTACACTATCTAAAGACTAGGTACAACCTCGCAGAGAATCCTACCGTTGAAAGTGTATTAACTGCCCACAAGGCATTCTTGTATAGAAAGAAAACCCACCATGCAACGTTATACAAGACGCGGACGAATAAAATCCCGTCCACAGTTGATTCATCCTCCGGCTATGATACGGAAACATTACCCCGCATGATGAAGGACGATACTGTAACCTCCAAGATAGAAATATGTTTGGAGCTGAGAAAGGTATGTGCCAACATTATAGGGAACGTGTGAAGACGTGGACCATCTAGCAACGCAGTGCGAAAAATGTTACACCAAGACTATACTAGAAGACACAATTAGGTCCTACGATGTATCCACTTGGGACTCTGCAAGAAGTATGGTCTGAAAGCATTCCCGCGCTTGCGAAGTCATTCTGTTCAGGAGGTCGTCGCGAATGAGAATGTTGAGATCAGAGTCGATACGCGAGTGGAAACTGCGATCAGAATAAAAGCGAATCGATCGGATACCATGATGCACGATAAGAAGCGACGTGAAGTAATCCTGATTGAGGTTGGCATCACTAGTCAGGACAGGTTAACAGCAGTTGAGAGCAAGGAAAAACGCAAATATAATCTGTTTGTTAATAAGCTTGGCTCAGAGATCAAATGCAGGACGAAAATAATTTCGTGTGTGATGACTTTGGATAGGATTGTAATAAAATTCCGCAAACGCTAAGTGAAAAAGATCAGTATATCTGATCACGTCGAAGCATATGTTCGATCGATAGTTCTCAGGAAGATACTCGAAAGCACCTCTTTCGATAGTCGATATGGATTCCTCGA